CTACAGACTTTTCGACTTGCAGCCACCGTTCCAATACGGATTAATTCTGTAAGTAGAGGGTCCACTGTAAAAGGTACAGACGGGTCAGGGGAAGAGCACAGGAAGGAAGAAGCAAAGGAAGAGATAGCAGGGGAATGGGGACAAATTAAGAGGGATAGTCTAGAAATTGCAGGAGAGAGAGAGAAAAGGAGGAGGAGAAAGAAATTTAGGGAGATGCAGTGGAAAAACTTGAGGAGAAAGCTTATTTCCTTGAGGCAGACAAGCTTTTTAGGAGATTGGGAGTATGTATATAAAGAAGATCCCTGGATGGGGGAAACAGCATAATTACCAAACACTGAGGATTCCTTTGTAACAAGGAGAAAGAGAATCAAGGGAACAATGCCAGCAAGAGAAGGACCAAGCCTTCTCTGAATCCTGATGAACCCTGGCAGAACACAAGGGAAGGAGCGTGCCAGATTCCCAGGTCTATGGCACTAAGGTTAAGGGGAAAGGAGGACCCACTCTATTGCTCCTACAGCATAAGCTATCTCTGCTGTACCCACATGTGCCAGGCTTTCCCCCAAAAGAAAGCACACCACTGACAGGTGTAAGGACTGAGCTTGGAGGTTCAGAGGACAGGATTTTTTAAAAATTCTTAAGGCATGCACAAGGTCATCCCCAAACATTCTGCCTCCTGAGGGAAATGGTAAGACTGGGCCTCCTTTTCTCTCTGCCCCCACCCTTTCGTCCACCAAAGCTGACCGGAGTGGCAGCTGAAATATATATATTCTCTTGGACACTGCCCTCTGTTGCACCTGAAGACAACAGCGTAGCTTATGGGGTACAGAACAAGACACATGGCACACACAGCTCTATGAATTCCATGTACCTTAACATCTGTTGCTGGAGGCAGCTGCCTCATTCTGCCTAAAGGGAAGGCCAGCCCTGAACATGTGGCAGGATGAGTTGATGGCCACCTACATGCTCATATAGTCCTTTCAAAACATAGCAAAAAGTCTACTGTTTTCCCTTTGGTGTGAAATTAACTCTGAACAGAATCAGGTTGCTCTGAACTGTTGTTCTGTGTTGTCAAGTCACAGTTGATTTATGATGACCCTAACAGGGTTTCAGAGGTCTGCAAGATGTTCGGGAAATGTTTGCCATCGCAACACCCCCAGTCTGCAAGATGTTCGGGAAATGTTTGCCATCGCAACACCCCCAGGTATTTTCCATGTGTGGGCAGGGATTAGAACTCAGGCCTCCTAAGTTCCATTCTGACACTCCACCTGGTACATTTCACTGGCTTTGAACAAGTCAATTCCATCCCCTTTAAATTTCACAACACCAGGAGAAGCCATTCAACTTGCAGTTATGGAGTAGGAAAATCTAGCAAATAATAAGGTGCCTTCCTCCCACTTCACTGTATTTGTGCCAACAACTGGGTGCTAGGGCCACAACAGAGGAAGGAGGGGAGGAGCTCCGTTTACTCCACAGGAATGATCACCTGGACCTAACCTCAGCTCATGCACCTCCTATATAAGCTTCCGACAGTTAGTTCTACCGACGGATACACATTCCATGAATAGCCTATTTACTAGAGAGCAAGGAAATGGCTGACACAAAGCACTATGTGAGACTGCCTTCCTGAAACTATTCTACAGAGTGTTTTTGTCTTCACCCTAACCTTGACCCGAGCTTTTGAGTCGTTGAATTCACAAATTTTTGCCAAACACTGGGAATTACTCTTTTATTTTTAGTTTTGTATTACTGATGCTGTTTGGATCCCGTTAAAAAGAAGGGCACTGAGGACAAAGCCAAGGGAGTGAATACTACTGAAGATCCAGACGAGGATATTAAGGGCCACAATTTAGTGGTAGGGCACATGCTTCACAGGTCTGGTTTCTGATGTATCTAGGTAGGGCAGGGAACAAAACCCTGCCTGAAATCATGAAGGCTTTCTGCTAGTCCAGGGTGAGGAAGCAGTTTCCTGTGCTCTTAGCCTTGGTATGGATGCCTCCACTAGTTTTATTATCTTCACTGGGAACACCATACATACTCTACTGGCTTGATTTTAGACTTGTGTGTGTGAGATTCCATGGGTTCTATACGCTCAGCGTCTGAAGCAGAGCACAGAAAAGATACTTGTAAAACTACATCTCCCAGAATCTACCTAGCTGATCAATTGACTTTTCTGAGCTTGCTCTAAAATTATAAAAGCTAGTGCCAAGAATCTTGAATTTAGGCTGGATTTGGACAGAGAACTGGTGTTTCTGAGGGAAAGATTGCCTTTCAATTCTTACTACTATGGATATTGTCTTTAGAAATAACCTCCCATTTTCCTGCCAATGCCATGCCAGTACAAGATGGTTTAAATTCCCAAGCCCTTTTCCCTAGGAGGCTGAGCTGAGGCTGAAGACCAGGTTTGCCTGCATGGACATTTTGCTGAGGAGTTTGTTTTTGCTGAGATTTCTTTTGTTCCTCCCCCCACCGCATGGCCTAAGAGGTGGGGTTTTCCTTCCTTAAATGAGGGTGTGCAATTACTAGAGAGCAAGGAAATGGCTGACACAAAGCACTATGTGAGACTGCCTTCCTGAAACTATCCTACAGAGTGTTTTTGTCTTCACCCTAACCTTGACCCAAGCTTCTGAGTCGTTGAATTCACAAATTTTTGCGAAACACTGGGAATTACTCTTTTATTTTTAGTTTTGAATTATTGATGCCGCTTGGATCCCGTTAAAAGAAGGGCACTGAGGACAAAGCCAAGGGAGTGAATACTACTGAAGATCCAGACGAGGATATTAAGGGCCACAATTTAGTGGTAGGGCACATGCTTCACAGGTCTGGTTTCTGATGTATCTACTTTACCCAGGCTTCATGCTCTGGAGAGGACACTTCTCGGTACAGAGCATGTTACCATAGTCTCTTGAGACTGAAGGATGCCTATGGAAATTCCCAAAAAACATCAGCCCTGTATACCAGCATAGATATATGGGATGGAATCTGGAAGACTACTTTTTGGTAGCTCCAAGGATTTCAATGCACCCCATGGGACCCCAGCACACCATGACCAAAGTTCATGTAAGTTTCAAAAGAAGCTGTTTGCTTTATAGAGGGCTTTGATTTCATGAAACCCAGGTCCACGGCTTCCTTGGGAGAATACCAGTAGCTGTGTTTATATATATATATATATACTTCTCATATCTACATGAAAATAAGGCATATTAGGTCCCATAGTACTAAAATTCTAGGATCTTAATATTAAAATCTTAGGATTAAAACCTTTAGTCCCATAAATCTTAATGCTGGCCCAGACAGATGTCAAGCAAAGTGCTATGGGAATGATAGTGAAGAGATCCAGCTGTTTCCAGAAAAGGCTTTAAGATGAGGCTAGTGTGGATTGAAATCCTACTATTTTAAAGTCATTTGCAAGGCCAACTTCCTCTGATAGAGGAAGGAGAATTGTGGCTCAGTGGTTAAACTGCAGTATAAGGCCAACTTCCTCTGATAGAGGAAGGAGCATTGTGGCTCAGTGGTTAAACTGCAGTACTGAAATGAAGACTCTGCTCACAACCTGAGTTTGATCTTGGGCTCCGGAAGCTGGTTTGAGACTGACTCAACTTTCCATCCTTCCAAGGTTGGTACATTGAGTACCAACCTCACTGGTGGTTGTGGGGCAGTGTGTAGCCTGCATAATTAAATTGTAAGCTGCCCAGAGAGTGCTTTGTGCACTGTGAGGCACGTAAACTGCCCAGAGAGTGCTTTATGCACTGTAAGGCAGTATATAAGCAGCATACTTTGCTTTTGTTGGTATCTTTGCTTTCACTGAAGAGCAGCCCTGAAGGCAGCAGAAGAGCCTCAGGGGTCATTTACCTCTTCCTATGGTTTGTCTTTAACAATGCATGTGCATGTGTACACCTGCTAATTTGCTAAAGACAGCCCCAAGACAGCTGCTTCTTCCCCTGCAAGTAAAAACATGAGTACTGTAGTCAGTCTCCTATGGGGCATTAGTGGGGCATGTCACTCTACCGGTGGAGTAGAGTCCCCTGCCTGCACAAGACTTGCCCTTACTAGGATTACTGTTTGGCTCATCCTTGCACAGTGATGTCCTAAATACTTTTTTCCCCAAGCAGCGAATAGTCAAACTGCTTGTGTTCTGGTCATTCTATGAGTGGTTTGACTCTACAGGATCCTGGCCTCCTTCTCTTTCCTGCTGTTCAGTGGGATACCAGCAGCTGGTTTTATGCTTAGTTTGGATTCGACACAAAGCAGGAAGGAAGAGGGTCCAGGAGCTTCCCTTCTCTTGGTGCTTCTGCTTCATGTACTGCCTCGAATTCTGCGACACAAAGCAGGAAGGAAGAGGGTCCAGCAGCCTCCCTTCTCTTGGTGATTCTGCTTCATGTACAGCCTTTTTCAGCCTAGAACATCACTGGTAGAGCCACGCAACTGTGTATACGGTGAACTTTGGTCTATGGAAATGGCTATTGAAAAAGTCCTCTCCACCATTCACTTAAATACATTCGGGCTCTTAATGCCCATAATATGATACCACCCATCTTCCTTTCAGCAATGAAGGTGTCGTAAATGTTTTATGGAGAACAGCTTAAGTAATTGTTCATGTGACCTGTGCCAAGCATGCTTTGAAGCCGGCTTTATTAAGACTAAAAAAAAAAAAAAGGAACCTTGAAAACTCTGCACTAGGAATGATACAGTCTAACTCGTACAAAGCCATGTCCAAATTACAAAAACACTGTGCGTCCCCAAAAGAGAGTGGGATATATTCGCTTTCTGCTATGTTGCACCAATTAATTAAAGAATGAATGAATTAACATGGTACAACATTACACAGAAATGCATAATGGCATGAAGGTGAGCCAGAAAACTGAACCAGAATGTGAATGTAGATCACCAAAGCCATCCAAAGTCACATAGGTTTCTTCTTTGGATGTCAGGGCCCATCAATCATTCTATCTGTCTGTCTAGCTATTGATGGATATACAGTTCCAAAAAAAAAAATTACCTACCATGTTCATGTCAATGCCATTGGTATATGTCCAGGCGTGCTGGAAATACTCCTCAAGGCGCTGCCTCAGAGGGTTGGGAATTTGATGAAAGCGGATAAATTCTTTGACGCGCAGCATCTGCATGTGATATCGTGCTGTCCCTGAATACAGTCTCTGGATTATTGCAGACACATTTCCAAAAATGCTTGCATACATTAAGGCTGGAGAAGACAAGACAAGGAAACCAACACAGGGTTAGATAACATCATGGTACTTGGCTCACACATAAAAGTAGATTAACTGTGCAACCCCAGTTCGGTTTTATTATCTCTTGATCTTCAAGGCAGAAGGAGGTGGGGTGGGGAGAGCTAACATTCCCAACTGGATGAAAGATTTGTGACCTGCATTTTGAAGAAGTCTCAGGATTATGCAGAGGTGACAGCTGTATGCACGAGTGCCTGTGCACAGGAGGTGCACAAATGATTTCCACCAACACAGAAAAACGGCTGCCATGTATGAACAAACAGTCCTGGTTATCTGTTCCCCTTCCATTCTGGAGACACCAGTGCCTGCCCCGACACTTCTGTGCCTTCCCAATTGGATTCCTAGCCTGCAAGCAGAGCCCTGTATTTCTACACTTAATCATGCAGAGGCAACGGGTTGCCTGAATCAGGCCAAGCATTCCAGTCCCAAAGGAAACTGTAGCTATAGCAGTGTCCAAATTCTTATGTAGTTATGAGCAGCAGTTTGCCTAAAGCAAGCAGGACAATTCTGTCGATTTCAAGAACCGTGCAATCGCATGCCGAGTTTTGTGCAGATCCAGGTGGCTGTGTGTTGCTTGAATTGCCCTACAGATATCAGGCAGACATGGCCTTCAATACCGCCATGCAACAGCCCATTCTTGTGCAGAGTTAGGCCAAGGAAGAGCCTTGCAGTGCCACAGTATGTTGTCCTCCCTCTCTGGCATCATGCCTTGGCTACTCTGCTGTGATAACTCAACCCAGTGTTGGCTAGGTTCTGTTCCCAGCGCAAGGCAACAGGTGACAACAATATGCTGGCAGAGTATTTCACTTATTGATGGGACAGCTGTTGACACACAGAGGATGGAGCACTTTTGGGGGGGAAAATATCCAAAAGAAGAACTAAAACCCAGTGTTGGCTAGGTTCTGTTCCCAGAGCAAGGCAACAGGTGACAACAACATGCTGGCAGAATATTTCATTGATTGATGGGACAGCTGTTGACACAAAGAGGATGGAGCACTTTTGGGGAGGGGGAAATATCCAACAGGAGAACTACTAAAAAGGCAAGTCAGTAGAGGAATGATTGCTTAAGCCTCTGTCACTGAAATTGGTGAGGCATGGGGAAGAGGCAGGTAGGCATAAGAAAGGTTGTAGCTTAGTACCAAATCACAAGTTTTGTGTGCAGAAGGTCCTGAGTTTGATTTTTGACACCTCCAAGTAAGGCTGGGGAAGACTCTTTTCAATTACCACTCCTTGATGACAATACTGCCATAGATTATATTAGTGTAGACACTGCCGGTCAGGGTAGTTAAAACAGCTGGAGAGACCGGCTTTATACGGCAGCTTCAAACTGTATTCAAAGGGTCACAACTCATATTTGTTACACTGAGAAGTACCTTAAGGGCAGAGACAGTACGTTCAAGTAACTTCTATCACCTTTTACAACAGCCTTTCCCAACGTGGTGCCCTCCATGCTGGTGGCGTGTGGTGGGAAATGTAACCCAGTCCTACCTGGAGAGCGGCAGGCTGGGCGAAGCTGTTTTGGAGTACAGTATATGGCTCTGCTTTCACCCTGAGAATGCTTCATTTTGGCTGCTTTGTAAAAAGCAGTTCACACACCCAGAGGCAGACTAGCTCGAAGGGGCTTCACTGAACCTAAGAATGGCGCTGCACCCTAAGAATGTAGCCCTGCCCTGATGCCTACATGTACCTTGTGACTGTCTGGAGGAAAGGCGTCTGTGCAGGCACAGCTGTAGACATGCAGACCCCTCCTTCAGACATTTGCACAACGGTGATTTGTAGTCCCAAGCAGGAGGGAGGCTGCCTTCTGCTAAATTTGGGGGTTAATGGTGAACCACCTACGGTCTGCATGAGACACAGAGATGCTGTGAATGGGGACGAGGGGGCGTAGGTAAAATTACTTGCATGGCATTGGAGGTATGGAAATACACAGCACAGCTCCGCTCTCTGGGGTTTATTTAATTAAGCTCTTTTGGAAATGCCTCTAGTCTGTGGAGAGTTTTTCAAAACAGTGAATGGAATAAAAAGGATTGAATCACTACTGTGCTGACGCAGAGGAGAATTCAGCAGGCCTGTACTCTGGCAGTGTTGCATTTTGTAATATTTCACAGCAGGTGTACAGTCATTTTGGATATGAGCTCCAAATACTGAATATGGCACACTGTATGAAAGAGCATTAAAATGTCATTAAATCACAGTTCCATCCTGAAAAGAGACTGTAATACACAACCTAGTTAAGCATGATTGACTTTAAATTGGCTGCCCTAAACAGAAGCGTATGTACTCGTAATGTGATTAATAGCCTTTCAGGAAGCGAGTGAAACGTAACTCATCATGTGGCTTCAATGGGGGGGGGGCTACCTTCTTCCTGTGAGTTCTGTTATTGTCCCATGAACAGCAATCGCGTGGCTGGGAGTGCCATCTTTTCTCTTACTATCTCTCTTCCTCCGTCTTTAACAGCAGCCTGCTTGGGAACACAAATGATTTGGGAAATCTTTTCCAAACTGGAGGAAGTTTTAATCCGTTAAGTTCCACCAAGCAGCTCTTAAAAATAGTAAGCAAGGGAGGAAAATGGTGGCAAAATCAAATCAAGGAGTGCAACCAGCATACAATCACTACATATGTGATTGTATGCTGATTATCTGAAAGAGGATTGCTCACTACCCAATGCTGCAAATGCTAGGAAAGAAGCATTTAAAGAACAGCTTCCCAAACCTGGGTCTCCACATGAAGAATCCCTGTTTGGCTCATTAACGTATCAAGTCAATTCAGTCCTAGGTAGAGTCCTGTGTAGGACTGCCAGCTCACCAGCGCTGCCTTTCCTGAGATTTCAGGGCTAAAACTTGGGGTGGGTGGGTGGCCCATTGGGATGTCACCTATGAGGCTGGAACAAGATGGGGTGGGTGAGGAGTCCCCCATCCAGCTTTTTTGCACCACTGTGCAGTAAGGAGGCTCATGAGTTGTGAAACTGGTGCTTCACTCCCTGCTGTACTGCAAAGGGCATGACGGACACTGCCTCCGGCCCAAAGCCTGCAGCGACAAAAGGGATTGGGGAAGAGACCATAGGCAATGCACACACCTGAGCCCAACATACTGAAAAACCTTGATGCTGAGCTAGTCAGACCTAATGCAAGCTAGACATGGGGGAAAAATGGGTGTCTATGTTATCAAACCGCTTCGTACAAAAATATAACAACCTCCTCCCATGCTTCTTGCCCTTTGATTTTTCTCCCTGGTTGGAAGCCCAGCAACACCTAAGACCTGGCAGCCCTCATGGTGCCCTTTATTAACATTTATTTATTATTTTATTTATTTATTATTTGATTTCTCCCCCGCCCCTCTAGACAGAGTCTACTCGGGGCGGCTTACAGTTATAAAAACATCATAAAATACAATCATATAAAAGCATCATTATTACTATCAAAACATGGCATATACTGTAGGTTGACCAATCCTAACATGGTAGACGTCTGACAGATAAACTACTGGTTCCTAAGCTGGTGCTGAGACATGCATGGCCCTCCAGGTATTGGAACACCGCTGTTATCATCCTTTATCATTGCCTGTCCTGGCCAGGATGGGTGGGAGTTGCAGCCCTCAACTGGCTCCGACCAGCAAGGGCACAAGCTGGGAAAGGGCGACCGCTTTAATTTTCCCCTCCTTCCATTCTCTCGGGTGGGAAGGCATTTCTGTGCCTGCTCTCAGGCTGACATTGTTCTACAGTTCAGGGCACCCATCAGGGAAACAAAATGGCAGTGGGCCTTTTTACTACCAATGAAACAAACAAAAAAATGAGACGGGGTAGCCAAAAAAAACACCCGAACTGAGCTTTGTAGAAGAAGGAATTTCAGAGCTGGATCTTGCAGAGCTTCACATCTTGCCCATCCAGCAGACCTAGCACCTTTTCTGCTCTTCCTAGGCCACATACAGGTGAAGACAAGGTTTTTACACCTGTAATCCTTCTGTGCAGCCTCTCACGCAAATGCCACCTGGCAAGCGTCTCTCTCCCACGGAACTTTGAGAACTACACAAGTCCTGCTCAGCCAGTCCAACTCCATTTTGAGGGCTTACTGCCATCAGAGCAGTCTCAGCTCCATCCACTCCTGGAAGAGACTCAAAGGTTAGGTCTTCCTTTCTAGCTAAAGAGAGGAGAGCCTGTAGGTTCCCACGGCTGCAAGGTCACCATCCCATCAAAATGTATACGTAACTCTTATGGCCACAAAACCGTAACAACGAAGCATAAAGAGCTGATTCATACACACACATACAAACACACACACATACACACACAGAGAGAGAAAGAGAGAGTGCATGGTGTGAGAGAAAACAGTTCCCTCTATTAGGGTTTTTTTCCCATAGCGTTGACAATCCTTTCCATGCAGTGCCATGAGTAATGAGCCTTAAAGGTCCTTAATATAGAGGAAGAATTATAAATGATGCATTTGGGGGCAAGTAGACAAATCCCAGCCCTTTAGTATTGAACTAATGCCTCTGGTTCTGGCAAGCCAGGAACACAGTATTCATTGAATATTTATTTATTTACTGTATTGAAATATTTATTTACTTATTTTTTAAAAAATCTCTGTATAAACAAAACCATACTGTACAGACCCATGCAATTCAAGGGAGAAGTGTAGAGATGCTATGCCACTATCTTACAGATACAGTTTTGGGGTGTGGGTGTTTGTGTGTGTCTTGCCCCCTGCTTTTAAAGACAAAGTAAACAGAGAGTTGTTTCAATTTTAAGAAAGAGGCGATGGGGAACTGCTGTGATAAGATGCTTTTAATGTTGTACTGAAGTTGCAGCACTTCAATGGGAATTGTAATGCTGCATTTTGATTACTGAATTCCTAAAACGAATCCTATTTAATTTTTTAGAGTAAGCTCATCTACATAAATGACACACTCTGTTTCTAAAATGACAATGTTCTCTGCAAAGGACATCAACCACCGAGGAAAT